GCCTAGGCACCACTATGACGAAGACAGTATGCCGATTCAATGCATGTTGAAAGTGGCAGCTTATGTTTGGCCCTAACAAATGACATATCTGTCTATTTTGAACATTATGTAGTGCGGACTAAACACCGTTCTTATTCTAAAGACTTCAATATTTCCTTTTTATAGTCCTGGAGTTGGTAGTCTTGTCTGTCCAATGCTTTCGTCTCATGAACTGCCAACAGTTTCTGATAAAGATGGTTTCCCATGTCATAATGTCCTACCAGTCGAGTTCTTCCGACTTGATCTCCACCTGCCCCTATTTCCCACCAACATTATGGCTGTCAAAGCGACACGCTCAAGATTTCCCTTCGCGCTGACGTGGTCAAAACAAACACAACAAGTCATCATCTTGAGATGAGTAATCACTTAGACATCAGTCCACTTCATAACTACAGTGGTTGACTCCATTGACTTGGTCACAGTCATCTGCATGCTTGGTTCGCTCATTATGTCCAGCATCAACGGATAAGAAACCTTAATGAAATAATCAGTTGAGCACCGATTATATTGTAATAGCTCGGTGGTATTATTATTTTTGTTTTTTACGACTCCTACCCTGACGAGAAAGAACACAAGTTTATACAATCTAATACAGCGATAGTCCTATAACACTCGACGGTGTTTCGTCGCCGAGCCACGAGTGACAATTTGATCAGGACTTTGCATTTCTAGCAATGGCACTGGTGTTTTCTTAGTGAAGTTACGCCCAGTCTAAATAACACAACATAACTCTTGACCCATTAGGCTCGTGGAGGTGTATTGATAAAAGCACTAGCGCTTAAACCCGCCATCTTTCTCTGTCTTCCTCTTGATGACAAAGTGTGTGATAATCTAGTCCTGTCCATTTCTTGAAGGTGTCCAAATTTTTCATTGCCTCATTCTTCTTCGACTACCCCCCAATGTCCCTTAAAGTATAGTCTTTGCAATTGAATCATGTCCTCACCACCTGCCAAAACCAAGCTAGCTTGCGACGTTTCAGCACTGCCATGTGAGGCTCCTGATGTCCCGCAAATGTGTATATTTTGTCTCAGATATATTTGTTAGTTTTGAGTTCTAAATAACTAATTTGTAAAATACGTCTGCAGCATTTACATTTAAAAGCCTGAATCCTTCTCTCCATTTCCACAGTGAGAGTCCAACTCCGTATAAGAAAATAGACAATACCAGTGACTTGTAAATATTGACCTTGACTGCGATGCTGATTTTGCTCTTCCACGCCCAATCTCCCTCATTTTGAATCTTGATCTTTCTTGGCCTGTTTTGTCTACTCTTGTCTGCAGCCGAGCCATGTAGTATATATGTGGGTATATATATATATATATATATATATATATATATATATATATATATATATATTATATATATATATATATATATATATATATATATTTATATATATATATATATATATATATGTGTGTGTGTGTGTGTGTGTGTGTGTGTGTGTGTGTGTTCAGTTCACGAGTGCAATAATTAGGGAGATGCCTAGGAATCGTCGCCGGAGATACGGAGGTCGTGCTCTGTGAGACGCTCTCAGCAGTTAACTAGCTGTTCTGCGTAGAGAGACTGAGCCATATGGGATAAAACCATATGCAATGAAGTCGATCCTCTCACCGTTACCTTCATGTCTGTCTGTCTGTCTGTCTGTCTGTCTGTCTGTCTGTCTGTCTGTCTGTCTGTCTGTATGTCTGTCTGTCTGTCTGTCTGTCTGTCTGTCTGTCTGTCTGTCTGTCTGTCTGTCTGTATGTATGTATGTATGTATGTATGTATGTATGTATGTATGTATGTATGTATGTATGTATGTATGTATGTATGTATGTATGTATGTATGTATGTATGTATGTATGTACGTACGTACGTACGTACGTATGAGTGCGTGTGTGTGTGAGCGCGTGTGTTTGTGTGTGTTATTTTGCCTGTTTATGTGTGTGTGTTTGCCTGAATAGTTGCTGTTACATTTACCCCACCTTTGCATTTCTCTGTGTGCTGAATAATGATTTATACAGACGACTAAATGTTGAATAATGATGTAAACAGACTACTAAATGTTGAATAATAATTTATACAGACGACTGAATGTTGAAAAATGATTTGTGTAGACGACTAAATGTTGAATACTGATTTATACAGACGACTAAATGTTGAATAATGATGTATACCGATGACTAAATATTGAATACGGATTTATACAAATAACTAACTGTTGAATAATGATTATACAGATGACTAAATGTTGAATAATGATTTATACAGACGACTAAATGTTGAATAATGATTTATACAGATGACAAAATTTTGAATAATGATTTATACAGATGACTAACTGTTGAAAAATTATTTATACAGGCGACTAAATGTTGAGTAATGATTATACAGATGGCTAAATGTTCAATAATGATTGTACAGATGACTAAATGTTCAATAAGGATTTATACAGGCAATTAGTTGGTGAATAGTCATTTAAACGTATGACTAAATGTTGACTAATGAATTATACAGACGACTGAAGGTATACAGAACTCCAGTGCTTCCAGTTTTGCTGATGCTTGTGAAACATGGACTGCACACAGTGGTCATACAAAGAAGCTCAACCACTTCTGCCTCAGAAAATTACTGAACATTAACTGACGGGACCGGGCCCCGAATACTGTCATACTGGATAGAGCAGGCATTCCCAGCGTCGATACCGTCCTGATGCAGTCAACGGACCGGTCACCTCGTCCGCTTGTCAAAACATCTACTCGCAAAAAAAAAAAAAAATTTTTTATGGTGGTGTAGAAATAGTTGAACGCTCTCAATGAAGCCGGAAAAAAAGATGCTTTAAGAACATGCTAAAGGCACCACTTTAACCGTCAATATAAACCAAAACACTTTGAAAATGCAGCATTAGACCGGATTATGTGTCGAACGTTTATTCAAAGAGATGCAGGAACTTACGAGGCATCTACAAAAAAGGAGCAGCTGAAAGCGAGAAACAGGCTAGAAAGACCTATTTTACAGGCTCTTTATCTGTAGGCACTGTTGCCTAACCTCATAGTCCTAGACCCTTCCACGCCTTTAATAGTCTTATATAAATCACATGCGGACTCACAGACAATCAACTACAGTTTTGTGACGCATGAAAGACTGGTGTTCATTATTTATGATGGACAAACAAGCAGACGACACATACACAAAATGGACGTTACACGTGAAGTTAAATTAGTACTGCCAGAAAAACTGAAGCAATAATTCACCATTAATATTTAGACACGAATCAGTAAGTAAAAGTGTAATGTGACGTGTTCATGCATATTCTCGGTGCTGACTTAAAGCATTGTGGTTTAACATTGAAGGTCAGTGACCAGCAATAATGTGTACAGACTGAGGGGTACCGACAACATTGATTTTGTGAGCAAGAAGGGAAACTTACTTGTCTGTAAAGGTTTTAACTTGATCTGAAACAATGCAAAGTCCTAGCACAGTACAATGGTAGTATAAGTATGTGTTGTTTAGTGTGGTTCTAGTTAATTTTAGAGCTAATTTTGAATCGTTTCAAGAACCGACATCACATGCGGGATATCCCAGTTGTGTCCTCATCTTTAGCAGCAGCAAAGAGTTCTAACTCCGATGGTACTAGTATTTGGTTGAACTAAAACTTCCATGGGTTTCATCCTCTCTCGTCTCCGTCTTCGGCTACGTGCTGCTACAGCGTCACATCCCTGCACCAGTTTCATTAGCATTTGAGGGGGCTTCGTGGTCTCGAGGTATAGTGTCCGCCTCGAGTGCTAGAGGTTCTGGGTTCAATCCCCGCTAAGGGCTGTGATTTTTTCACGTGGACTTGGACTTCTGGTAATTTCCCTGGTCTCTGGGTAGTGAGATCGGGCGCCCGTGTGGATTGTTGCGCACGTAAAAAATCTTTTAGCAGTTAGAAATCGAAAAGAGTACCGAGCGCTGCCCGGGGACAATTTTAAGTTAAAAATCTACCCAAAGTATTTCAGGATCTTAGCCAGTGCTACAGAGCTTGTGCACCGTGCTGAGCTTCTTCGGACTCAACTTGAGTTAGAAAAAGAACGCAGCACGTATGGGCTACTACCCGTGTGTCGTGGTTTTAATTCGTTATTCAAACCTCATCAGTAATGGAGAGCGCGTGTTCTGTCCGCCCTATTCTCTGCATTTGATTGACTATTCTGCAAAGTCCTGGCCACTGGAACGTTGTTATTTTCAGATGTGAGTGTGTTGTTATTACTTGTGATAGCCTTTCCTCTGAGTATGAATTGTCGAGGAGATAAATAATTTCAGAGCAGCCAGGCTAACGAGGTTTGAGTTTTCATGTTTAGTGTCAGTTCGGTTTTGATCTATATCTATTATCGTAACTGCTTTTTTTTTTTTAGTTGATCTGGGTGCCAAAGTTAGACCAGCCTAAACTGAGAAATAAGATCTCTCAAAAGTACTGCCTGCTGTTTGAGAATTTTCTTTGCTGCCTACCTAAACCACTTTAGAGCGCTGTGTGCCCGGCTCCCCAGGGTAGTTGATAGCATAAAAAATAATAAAATGGAAAATACAGGCAGCAGTGACAAGTTATCTTAATGACATTATAGTTCTAATCAAGTAGGAGAAGAGAGACATTATGCAAAGCGTTTAACGTGTATTAGATGGGGTATTCTATAACCTATACGTCTCGGCCCTTTTGGGGGTCAAACGACCCTTTCACATGTTTCGCCTATGATCACCGGAAAACACATTTCAATAAAGTTATGAAGTAGCAACGAAAATAACTGTATGATTGGCGGAGCCACCACATGAGGAACTGCATTAAGGTGTCACCGCATTGGCAAGATTAAATCTATTGAAATCTCCATGTCTATGCTGGCCACTAGAGCATTATTATTTTCAGATGTGGGTGTGTTGTTATTGTTTGTGTTGTTATAGCTATTGTATGTGCTCTCGTCAACACTAGTATCGTATGTTAACAACGTGACACCATACCCGTATCCTGCTCCAACAGGGTTGTAGATCGTAGTTGGTCGAACTGAAACTTCCATGGGTTTCACCCTCTCTCGTCGCCGTCTAAGTCTACGTGCTGCTGCAGCGTCCATCCCTGCACCACTTTCATCAGTAATGGAGGGAGAGTCTTCAGTCGACTCGGTTCTCTGCATTTGATTGACTGAATTCTGCAAGGTCCTAGAGCGAGTGTTGACCGCTTTCTCTAGCGTGGATATAGCATCAGTCTCTGTCCCCCTTGTCTCCATGGAGAAGGATCCGCCATTACTGCTGCAGGCAGAAGAGATATCTCGATCGTATCTTTCAGGATACTCTGTCTGCATGCTCTTCTCTACAAGATTCTTAACGCTGGTTGACCCAAAAAAGTTAACATCCGTCTGCGTAACTGCCGACCTCTTTGGGACCACCTTCTGAGCCTCTTCCATGATGTCACGATCATACCCTCTGTGACCAAACAACATGTTGGGTAGAGTCAGTCTTCGGCCATCATCATTAGCTATCAGTCCTTTCTTTTTATCCAGGGTTAGATCCGGATCCTCGAGTTTGCCAAGTTCTACTGTGCCAGGAACGAAACAGATCTGCTTGCCCACCGTCCGCGGAAGATCCTTCAATTCAACATTGGCCATCACCGAAAGTTTGTCCTGAACTTGTTTTTTTCAAAAGAAGAAGCTCGATGTCCTTGCCCTTGAGGACTAGTTCAGTCAGACTGCATGTGCTTTTCAGGCCGTCCAGGTTATTTTGCATCTCATTTTTCCTGCTGACGTATTGCATCAGCTCGGAACCGTAACAGCGATGTAGGTCATCGATCAGGTTCTTCTCCTTGTTACGTATTTCAGTTACAAAATGTACGGAGGCATCTCTGATCCGCTGCTCGGCTGCCTGTAAGTAACAAAAAAAATGTTATACACTGACTACTAATTTAGGATTCTACATAACAACATATCGAACATACTCACAAGTGCCCAGTCTCTCGCACACGTCTCGAGGAAGTAGATGCTGATTGTTCCATCAGAAAATGTACTGATTTCCTTGACCACAGGTTGTTCAAATATGTGAGGATCCACTTAATGGCACCGGGTTTTTTTTCCCAGGGTTCTGCTATCCTCACCTTATTGACTGCTAGCCCACGAGAGTGTTTAATCCCATAGCTCCTAAAAACGAACTCCTTGGATCTTCTAAACACATGCACTCTTGAACCAAGCAAATCTCAATCTAATTCCAGCCTCACAGGGCTCCGGTGATATGTAAAATAAGGATTGTTTTCCCCCCGGTAAATATGGCAGGCAGACCATCAGCTCCGACACAGATTAACAATAATGTTCTAGCGATTGATGAGCTGGCAGCTGTAGATGTTAGACCTGCCGACTTATATAATATATATATATATATATATATATATATATATATATATATATATATATATATATATATATATATATATATATAATGAATAATAAACTACAATGGTTTCAATGGCTTGCTATACACAGATTAATACGAAACACAGTAGAATGTTCTTGTTGCAAACGTCAAATGTCGTTAGTTTCGCATTTGGACTGTTGTGACAGATTCTCATGGCGGTGCTAGTGTTAATTTTAGCCCTAACCCTAGCCCCAACACCCAAACAATTGAAGGGTTATAGATGCAACTCAAACAGAAGCAACAACTGAGGCTCTGTAAGGGTAGATTTTTGACCTAGATAATTTGGGGCTGTTATTCGGAGAAGTGGCTAAATGTCTATAGGGTCCGTTTCTTTATTTGATGCATGATAAGGGCGACATCACGGTACCAAAAAGCTGCATAATAATATGAGAAGAAGCGTGGTAGATCCATGAAGCTACAGCAGTTGAGATGCCAAGTGTTAGTCCTTCAAATATTCTCCAGCAAGACATTGATGAGACATAGGGGCCTGTTCCATGTCTCGTTAATTTTCTTTTTCTAGCGACTACACCACAGGAATTGCCCAGAACCAGAACGGTCGGAAATAATAGCATTGCCTCTACTGAAGAGTCAGCTAAGACTACTGTCTACGAGGCAAGGGGGTTAATCACCATTCCAGTATGTTGACACTGCCTACGAGGCAAGTGGTTAAATCACATTGCCAGTATGTTGACAATGCCTACTTGACAAGTGGGTTTGTAACCATGCCAGTATGTTGACAATATCTACGAGGCAAGTGGGTTAGTCACCATGCAAGTATGTTGACAATGTTGTTGATGTTGTTTCAGTACAGGGTTGACAAATAGTTGGCAAATCTGATAAATGACGAAGACTGTATTCATACGCCATTACTACCCTGTCAGAATATTACATAGAATATACGTGACGTCATTTTTGTGTGTGTGGGAAAGTCTGGCTCACTGGTAGCTTTCTTCTTAGAGTCCATGCCGTTTAGCATTGGTAGTAATGTACATCCACAACCTTTTGTCTCGTCTAATTTCAGTCAACTCTGACACAAATGATCTTCCATATAAATGATGTCAAACTGTCCAGCATCTGACTCTCAGTCTCTCTCTCTCTCTCTCTCTCTCTCTCTCTCTCTCTCTCTCTCTCTCTCTCTCTCTCTCTCTCTCTCTCTCTCTGCCTCTCTTCCCCTCGAACTTTACTACCGTCACGATCGATGTACACTAGTTTTCTCCTTCTCATCACATGACCAAAGAATGCAGATTGTCAGTTCATTTCAAGATGTCTTCATTACTCTTTTTATTCGTTGAGGGTATTCTCCTCATTTGTCTATAAAACAACATCTCCGCATTTCCAAATAATCTGTTCACTAATTTACTACCTGTCCTGTCACTGGTAGCATAGAGTGGGAATGTATATGCTTTGTTTCAAATGTTACTAAGAGTTGATGGGTGGAAGGTGGGTGTGGGGGTTTTGTTGTCCAAATCCTTAGTTTGCTTGACTGCAACTTATGTTCATTTCACTATCCTATTTTCCATCCATAACGAATGTTGTTCCCAGATATTTAAACGCAGACAACTGTTAAACTGTATATTCTGATGGAAAGTTCTCCTTATTCCTCAATTTCTGGACTTTAGCCTTGTTCGAGAATTTGATTTTTGTGTGCACGTCCATTTTACAGATCTGATTTATCTGTATGCAGACTGTTGACCCCTCGACTCTCAGACATAATTACTCTGACTTTGAAGAAAACAAGCATAATGAGTTTCCTTCTTCAACATGCCTGTTGGGGAAATGGGGTGGAAGCAGCGGGTCGAATTACCCCTACCCCAGATGGAGCCCCAGAACCCACACAGGAATCACCAGCATATGAGCATCCTGACCTTAATGAAGCCTTCGCACTTGGTGAGCAGAGCCAGCTGCCTGTCGTAGACGTCGATCTTGCCCTTGCAGTCGCCCAGCAGGTGCTGGATGCTGTCCTTGTACTTGCCTACAGCGTCCGCAAACTGAGTGATCTCATGGTCCTGTCAACACACAACAGCTACAGTTGTTACGAAAGAACGAACAAGCAAAAGGTTACATGGTTGCTGGGGCAGCCTTATAATATTAAGGGTAGGTTCTTCTATTTTAGTTCACTACATTTCGGGGAATCAGAGACTTCATGGAAGTTCCTGAAAAGGCCCAAATAGTATAGAGGTGTTATAATATGAGATGAACACCGACTAACACTAACCCTAACCTTCCCGATCCCCACAGTCCACTCCCTATAATACTGGACTTTTTCATGAACTCTCCATAAAGTCTTTGAATCCCGGTGATGGTGTGAACTAAAAGAAAACTACCTATTAACTTTGTTAATCAACTTTATGTAAGGGATAAGCAAATACTTTGTTAGTCAACTTGATGTGTGTCTTACTATTAATGGATAGATAATTCATAGTATGGACCTAACCTTCTTGTATGTTAAAAAAGTTAGTTGCATATTCCTTACAGGACATGCAGAACCAACATTATTAGCATTATTTGGCTTTTCTGGTTTTTCTAGACAAATTTTACATTGAGTAGTTTGTCGTTGTTTTCTGTACGGTCAGCTCTCTGTATCACTGTTGAATCCAAAGCAATACAAATTAGCCGATTATTTATTATAATTTACATAATTATTGGATCTTTAATTGTGAAGGGCCAATTTTCACTCAAACTTATGCTGGGATTTTTTAAATTCACGTGGATTTCTTGTCTCTGGGTAGTGAGATCAGGCGCCCGTGTCTTTTGTTGCGCACGTAAAAAAATTCATGGGCAGTTGGAAATCGAAAAAAAGGTAGCCTAACGTCGCTGTCGGGGCAAAAATTTTTGTTGTTATTGAACGAATTATTATTTTGAAGATAAATATTTTCTAATAGCCCATTTATTTATCTCCAAAAAAAAATTCATTTAATAACACATGTTGCTAATTGATTAAACCATAGTTCAGTTTGTGTATAAATCAACTCAATAAAAATTGTTACCACTAACCGGCCACGCCAGCCTCACAAAAACGGGAATTTCCGTTTCAGCTGTACCGCCTTATATCTGAAGTTGTCCGTGGTTGCTCCTTGCCGCTCCAGCAAATGTGCTCCGACTTTGAAGGAAGCTCTCAGTTAGTCCACTGTCGTGCTTACTCGAGTGGCAGTAGGTCTATTCTTGTTTTCTCCCACAATGGGACCCTGGAACCCACATGGAGACACTACCGTTATTATCGAAGCTGTTCTCGGCAGGGTTAAACGTGGGCACTTTTTCCCGAATATTGAATGACTGTTGAATGATGAATTAGGAATCGACATCATAGCACTCGGGACACTCCCATAAGCGCTCCGTCCCCATATTCAGCAGCAAGCAAACAAACAAAAAACAACTCACTTTGTGTTCGTTGAAGGTACACAGCACGCAGATGCACGTCTGACAGGGTTCGCAGTAAAAGCGGACAACCTCGTCCTGATGTTCTTTACACTCGATGTCCTTCTCTATCTCCACATCGAAAAGGCTGTGGTTCTGGGTCACCTGTAGGTGGGCATAAAATTGAATGTTGAACACTGAATTAACTTTTTTAGTACCACAGTTTTGAAGTTTTTATCTCGAGCTTATCTACTTTATAGCAACCTTCGCCCGGCTCGCTAGCGTAGTTGATTAAATCTGACTTTGCGGCGACAGGGTGACGAACTCTTTTTGGTGCAGGTTCACGCCTGGGGGTAGGCAGAAAAGGCACATTTCTCCCAGATTTACGGTATTTATCATGGAATCAAGTCTGAAGGGTTGCGACATCCATAGTACTGAGCCTAAGGGTTGAAATCATGGTTTCTGAATATTAAAAAACAAATATACAGCAACACTCATTAGTCCCAATGACCCAGTAGAAGGGATTTCTTTAATAGAAAAACTGCATATAAAAAGTTGGCTAAAGTATACCACATCCGAAGTCATTATAAAACGCATGGCGAGTTGCCGGGTACTTGAAGGGTTAAGAATCGACATCACAGCATTCAGGACATTCCTATAAGCTCTCCGTCTCCTTCTTCAGCAGCAGGCGAAGAGTTCCAATTTCGCCAATTCCGATGGTACCAGTAACTGTCTGATTGTACATCTGTCTCGCCTTTCTCTTGAGTGTTGAGCGTCGGCCAGATACCTTGGTAATTCGCCGCAGTGCCATTCTCCTCAGCCCGTAATGATCTATTTGAGCCTCTGCACTATTCACTTGCTCCTAAAGGTACCCCTCACAACATCTAGCTTGTCATACTTCGGTAATGAACGGAAACGAACACTTAAAAAACTGGGCGAGGCAGCCGAAAGGGCCTCGAGTTGGCTTTGGACGCAACGCAACAACGTAAGGGACGGGCCTCGGTGAGCTGGTCCTGGTGTCTAGTGGAAAAGGGTTTCTCACCCCTTGAAAGTCCATCGTGTCCGAATTGTCTGCCAGTGATCCTCTGCCACCTGATAATAAAAGTCCAACATGTGTCCGGTAAACCAATCGTAAGCTTGTCGCTCGGTCATCCAGGTATGCTGACTGCTTTAATTAGGCTGCCGCGACGACTTCTTATCTCACAGTACCTTCTGCAACCACCAAGTCGTCTTGTCCCTATCCGAAAGAAAAACACCATCCGGTAATTTCGTGCAGCAGGGTACCAGCCCTGAGCTTCATGAACTCAGGTGGGCCCACCTCCGAAAGTGTCTAGGAATCGTGGGCCGAAACACTTGTCGACGAGGATAATTTCTACTGACGACTGGTAGATCCCTGCTGTACTTGCTCCCTGTGAGTTTATTCCCACTACCAAATGGTGCAAAACCGACCAATCTCTCAGGCTGCTGGTTTCCCTAAACACACCAGCAAGACCCAGAGAAAATATCTAAAGCACGCTAACTACTCAGGCCCCCTAAAGCGATGCTTGCCACTTCGTACGGGCCATGCCTGTCTCCACATTTCTCAACTGTACATTAAAGTACATTAAAGAAACCTTTTACACACCAGTAGCGCAGTGAGCATACAATGTTAAGACTCATATTTGTACAGACCAGTGGGCCAATGATGGGAGATAACAACATCACGCCGACCCCAGTTATTCAGCGGAACTTTACTTGCTACCCCCATTTTAGGTTGAGTCGACCTAGAAGCCCGGATGAGAGTTAAGAAAACATATCGTCTCCATGTTTTAACGAACCCAAGATGTTTAGGTCGGAGGCGCAACGATATGTGTACACATACAAGTGATTTATCAAGTTACTGTTACATCAGGAAGGCTGTTGCAAGGAAATAAATGGTGGTTGGGGGGGGGGGGAATTGAGAGTGACCTTAAAGGGTGTGTCATATTTAAGTACGCAGTAATAATGTTCTTCATACTGGATATCCTTCTATGTGTCCACAATGAAGAGATTGTGATTCTGGGTCGCCAAAACACGAAGAAGGTTATGTAAATCATTCAGTACCAAACAAGGCACTGCACGTTTGCTGATTTGTAAACTAATATGATACTCATTCCTGGTCACCTTGTGGTCCGTCAAGATGTGACCAGCGCTGTCGAAATTGGTACTTTCATACAAGTTTGGTACAATATCTGACCCTTGCCGAGCAAAACTGTACTTTTGGTACCCAGCCAACATTGAAGTCTTCTCTCTCCTTAACAAATGTTAAAATTTAATCAAATGAGTCTGCTTGGAAAACTGTAACAATAAAGCGTATTGAGGAGAGCATGGTTATTGCTCCTCGACATTTACTGCACCAATGACACTTGGGTAATAAACTGGGCGATAAAAACACACAAAGGGCACAGCAATAATGTAATGGATAAATAATTTCATTACTGAACAAATAAAAAGTAAGCCAAGTTATAAACATTTTATTTAGAGAAGTTTTAACGGCTTCTAAATCAAAACAGAAAAATTTTGTATTTTTTGTATTTTGGTAACTTGTCAAAAATGATTGATTTGGTGCTATCCCCCTCCCCCCAACCGCCCCCCCCCCCCCCCCCCCCTTTTTTTTCCTCAAGCCCTTTTCAGAAAATAAAATCCGCAGTCTTGGTTGTGATACTAACCAATGGTACAGATCTACCGACAAACTATCATATATTGCAACTATCGAGAACATATCGACCAACTATAAATCACAGGTGCGTTCTTGGCTGCTGAAATAAAACGGTACCCACCTTGGTCTCTTTATGCAAGTCGACACATTGTTTACACAGCAGCTTGTTGCAGTCAATGCACTTGCTGCTAGCCTCCCGATGCTTCCGGCTGACGAGCTTGCAGATGTCACAGAAGGGGAACTTGCTGGGTTTCTGCCTGGCCACCACCTCGCTAAGACTGGACACTAGAAAGTTGTCCGGCAGCTTCTTGACGCCTCCAATGGGCAGTTGGGTCCGTTTACGGCAGAGAGGACAGGTGAACTCTCGATAGTCGGAGTACTGCAAAAAGTAGATCACAATGTTCGTCACTAGATTAACTTGATTTGAATTGTGTATGTCTGGTCTGATAGTTGTTGTAGTATGGGGGAAAGTTGGGCTTGGACTGAGTCGTCACCCTTTAAGTCTATGTAAAGTTCCAAGTCATTGCCACCAGGTACCCAGTAATTACCACTAAGTCCCACGTCATTGCCACCAAATCCTGTCATTGCCATTGTCCCAACTCAAGTCTCCAGTCATTGCCATCAAATCCCAAATCAAGTCTTAAGTCAATGCCACCAAATCCCAAGTCGAGTCTTTCAAGTCATTGCCACCAAATCCCAATCAAGTCTTAAGTCATTGCCACCAAATCCCAAGTCAAGTCACCAAGAATGCTTTCAGCTCGAGTCCCGAGTGAAGTCACTTTATGTATCAAGTCATGTGCAAGTCATGCATGGAAAAATGCTTATGGATTAAACTGGTTACTGAACTATATTTACTGAACAATGTATACAAGAGGAAGAAGTCGAATATGTAAGCTTGAAAAATCGAAACAATGTTAAACTTCTATCAATTCTGTCCTGCTTTATGTGAAGATGTCTTAAACTGTGGCGCTGATCAACAGACCTCACAGAGGCCAGCCACAAAGAACAAGTCGTCTAAGCTACAAGTGGCAAGTCGAGTCGCTGGTCGCAGGACACAACCCCATATCGAGTCGGTAGTCGTTATTAACGCCACTTAAATCGCCTCGAGTCCAAGTCGTGCGACTCGAGACCTGACCTATGGAAAATGGTACAACTGGTAATCAAGTTGATTGTTTCTTCTTGCATGTATCTACAGAAACACACACTTGAATTATTCAAATGTGTACACTGTATATTGAGAAACAAAGAAGGAAATGGTTTGGTCATCTAATGAGAATGAAACCAACAATGCCAGCAGCAAGAGCGTACAATCTGAAAATCAAAACACCAAGAGGCAGGGGAAGACCGAGAAGAATATGAATTGAAGAAGTCACTGACACAATGAGACTGCATAACACCACGCATATCAAACGACCGAAAGCGCCATGGTTCGGCTGCTACTGTCTGATGAACTGCTGCACCTAATGGCAAAAAGATTAGTTGGGTATCCTTTACAGGACGTTGCAGAACCAACTCCAGCAGCCCCTGGCTGCTGTGTGGTTTCTCTATACAAATTTACGTCCGGTAGTTTGCTATTGCCACCTGGACGGTCGGCTTTCTAATACCACTGTCGAAACCAACGCAAGGCGCATGGCCCGCAGCTGGGATCGAACCCGGCACCTCGGCATTGCGAAGCGTTTGCATCGACTTAGCCACAGAGCCGACTTAATGGCATAAGCAGATACTGAAAAGAAGTGTCTATCTAAAACTAAAATAATGTATCCATTCATAATTTAGACAAAATGTGTCTATCCATATTTAGATATGGTATATCTATCGTTAACTAGGCACAGGAAATGCATACACAAATCGAGTCAGTGCATCTAACATTAACAAGACACAGTTCATTCATTCAAGTCTAGAAATTTTCCATTTAACTGTAACTAAGCATAGCATCTCTATAACAGTTACTGAGGTAGATTCCTGGGAACCGGGTGTGTGTCATGGACAATGCCGCATCGCAGAGAAAATCAGGAAGGGAACATGAATACAGAAGAAAATCATAACGGGCAGGTTGAGTTAGAGCTGAGTGTCTGAGAAGTAGCCCGTTCGATACGTGCAGAAGTAATGAAGATTGTGAAATCCAATCTAATTGTAAAAGACTTCTTAACGTGAGCAGCTCTTGATAGTCAAGGGGTGTGATTCCCATGCTCCCTATAACCCTATATAAGGCTATCATCGTGAAAGACAAAACAGTTAAAACAACAACGACAGCTCCATCTACAGTCAGAAACAGTCAATAAATGTACAACTGGACACTGACCTAATAAATGGTACGTAGAATGGAGCCTACCTTCTTGTATGTACACTCATTTAAAACGTGGTTGTCAGTGCACTACTTACATAATGTGTGTCTACCTATGAATAATTTTTGGAACTGAGCCTATCTTCTTGTATGCACACTGATTTAAAACGTGGTTGTCAGTGCATTCTTTTAATGATGTGTTACTACATGGAGCCTATATTCTTGTATGCACACTCCTTTAAAATATAGTTGTAAGTGCATAGCTTACATAATGTGTTTTTTACTACATGGAGCCTACCTTCTTGTATGCACACTCATTCAAAACGTGGTTGTCAATGCATTGCTTACATGGCGTGTTACTATATGGAGCAAATTTTTTTGTATGCACACTTTTTTAAAAACGTGGTTGTCAATTCATTTTTTGTAGGATGTGTGTCTTCTTCATCTGTAAACATCTGCTTTGTGGCGCTAGACGCTGCAGTTTAACGGCTGAATGGTAGCCGATTCAGTGCTAGCTCGGTTGGTAGTTATGCTATGATTTTTTTCCGATCCTAAGATATCAGTGACTCCTTCATTCATATTTTTCTAGGTATCCCTATATCTCTTGTTTTTCCCATTTTTACGTTGTACACTCTTGCTGCCAGCAACGTTGGATTCATTCTCACCAGATGGTCGAACCATTTCCGTGTTTGTTTCTCGATAACTTGTGTATTGTTTCATTTGTTCTTCTAATCTCTTTACTTATGACATGATCTTGTTTTATTTTCCAGCCTTTCTCAAGCATTTCATTTCACATGTTAACATTCAACATGTGAAATTATTCTTCTTTGTTCACCGGCTGTGAATTCCGGCGGAAGGTCCCGGTTAATCGTCCGCTTGAACTTTTGGCTTTTACCTGGACTTGAGTTTTGGTTGTACACGCAAAACTCAGGTCCGGGTAAAAGCCAAAAAACCAAGCGGGCGATTAACCGGGACCTTCCGCCGGAATTCACAGCCGGTGAACGAAGAAGAATAATTTCACATGTTGAATGTTGAATTAAGAATCGACATCACAGCACTTGCGACACTCCCATAAGTCTTCCATCCCCATCTTCAGCAGCAAAAAAAGAGTTCCAATTCCTATGGCACCAGTAACTGTCTGATTGTATATCCGTCTTATCCTCCCCCTGAATGTTGGGCGTCGGTCAGATCCCCTGGTAACTACTCGCAGCGCCATTCTCCTCAGTCCGTAATGAATTAAATCTGCGCTTCCGCACTGTTCACTCGCTCCCAAAGCGCCCTCACAATATCTAGCTTGTCACACATCAATTCACCACAATTCAGAGTAGCTGCAGACAAGAAGCACAGACTAAAAAGAGGAAGGTCTTGAGTGGCGCAAGCTGAAGACACGATTGGACTTGTGCGCCGGCTTGATAAATTTTTGCGAGGAGAGGAGTGGGTCAAGGTGTCCGAACAAGTTTCGGACTTGTGTAGGGTTCTAATAATTTCACATGTATTTCGTTTTCTCTACTGTACTCTCTAATGTTTAAATCTGACACTGCTAACGGCAAGTTGAAATATAGACAATATTTACAGTTCCTCCTTTAATTTTTGTCATTCATAATGTGTGAACACTGAAATAACGATTGATTTGTACGTAATTTGGCGCCTACCTTCTTGTATGTACACTCGTTCAAAACATGGTTGTCAATGCACTGTTCACAAAATGTATGAAGACAATCCAGACACTTTGGGGACTTGAAACCTTGTAGCAAAAGTAATACAGGTTTTTAAAAACCTTTTTGTTTTCATAAGCAGTATATACAGCTACCTTTAAAAATCTAATTAATATCATAACACACAAATTTAATTCTAGATTAAAAACACATTAAAAAACACCAAACTCATATCTCCACAATTTCTGTTTTTCTTGTTGCCGAATCTTTTTTCCTCCTCTTTTTTAAACACACCTTATTATATAAAATGGGTTGGGGGGGGGGGCGGTGTCTTTATATACTCAAGAGCGCGTGGGGTTCTTACAATATACTCAAAGGGAGAGGGGGCGAGGATATTGTCATATACTCAAGAGAATGTGGGGTTCTCGTCATATAGTCAAGCAAGGAGGGGAGAAGGGGCGTGACCTGTAAACGGTTGGAAACTACTGCTATACTATTAGAATCAACATCATCATCAGCATGCAGCAGGACCTTTGCCAGAACGTCGCTCTTATCACGATCCGCCTCATACACTTCTATATGCAAAGAGTCACTTATATACCGTGCCAGTCTTCGTGTTTGTCAGCCCCTGCCTCTTTCTCACCTTGCCTTCTGCTGTTTTCTTTTCCTAATCCGCAATGGATCATTATAAGAATATCGAAAGATATTGTTGTAGTTTAGTACAATATTGTATAGCAGGTTTGTTTAGTAAAGTATAGAATAAGATAGTTTTATAAGATAGGATATTATAGCATGGCATACTATAGCATATAAACAATTTTGCCATATCGTGCCATATATATATATATATACTATACTTCCTATACATCACACCAGTAAATTATACTTTACTATACTACTTCGCTGTAATATACTACAAGCTAATGGTTTCCTCTGACTTTCAACAGTTTGCTCAGCTAAGGACGCTCACCTTCGAGGCAGATCTTGCAGGTTAGGAACTCGTCGTGAATCTCCTGGGCCAGCTTGTTGCCGGCCGCCGTGGTGGCCATGTTGAGGCTGCCTGTAGAAGACGGAGGAGGACTGTCCGACGAAAGGCTGGATGGATCTATGGCTTGAGTGAAGTAACGATCCCGTTCTAGTCTCCTGCGAAATCTGCAAAGACAAGAAAATGAGCACTTTCATTTTACGAATATCTTCAATATGTACTTCACCCTTAACATGATCTTCTTCTTTTTTTTACTCTTCTTCTTTTTCTTCTTTTTCTTCTTATTGTTCTTCTTCTTCTCTTCTTCTTCTTCTTCTTCTTCTTCTTCTTCTTCTTCTTCTTCTTCTTCTTCTTCTTCTTCTTCTTCTTCTTCTTCTTCTTCTTCTTCTTCTTCTCTTCTTCTTCTTCTTCAAGCCCAGCCGTGTGGCGTTGGTAGTCATGTCTTATCCACAACCTTCTGTCTCGTTTACTTTCAGTCAAATCTGACACAGATTATCCTCCAGGCCATGATGTCAGACTGTCTGGCATCTGTTATTTCGGTCACCCTCTGCCTCTCCTTCCCTCCTCCTGTCACGATGTATTTCAGTTTTCTCCTTTTTTTTTTTTTTTTACATGATTACAGAATGTAGACCGTTTCTTTCTGATGTGTTCAATCAGTCTTCTAACGATGTTTAGTCTGTCGTTAAAAAAAATAACTCCCTGTGTATTTATTAGTAACTCCTTGCGTTATTTGATTTTCTTAAATACTTGTGTCTATAGTTGAATTCTTAAGAACCAGCATGAAATCCACCAGGACATCCCATAAACGATCCGCCCCCATCTGTAGCAGCCAGGGTCGAGTTCAAATTCCTGGCACCAGCAGCAGTTTGACTGTGTGTCCGCCTTGCCCTTCTCCTGAGTGTCGGACAGAACCCCTGATCAGTCTTTCGATTGTTTGTTTACTTATTCACTTTAGTCTAGATTTTTTCAACGGGAAACGCCGGTGTGTTGAGAAATGAACATGCGGACAGGCTGGCTGGCTTTGTACAACTTTGTGGAATACCAATGCATGATAAGGCAGACGTGGCAATGACATGGGGCTTGATGGTAATGACTTGGGACTTGGTGGCAATGATTTTGGGCTTGGTGGCAATCACTTGGGGCTTGGTGGCAATGACTTGAGACTTGGTAGCCGAGACTTGGATGTCGACTTGAACTTAAAGGGGCGACCTAATCCAACCTCTGTATATAGATCCCCCACCTCTTATTGTTTATTTATAGATCCCCCCCCCAAATGCCGAAGTTTTTTCTATTGTTTTTTGCCCGGCTTTATATTTTTGGACGGGGGGGTTCACTCCCGAGGGGGGCGCTCGATATCCATGCCGAGCACCAGTTTACAACTCATGGTTTCTGGATACGTTAAAAAAAAAAAAAAATTGGCAACATACTCCAGCCCGAAACCCAAAGTAAACGGTGGACGTCATCAACGGAAACTCGGTGAGTCAGCTACTGGTATATTCTATTCATAACCTGGCCTTTGTTCTACAGCAATGTATCAAAGAAAACTAATCGTGCCATGGTCAGCCGCTAGGGTTTATCTAACGCAACATTATGCCATGTTGCTCACGTCTTGCGCATGACAAGGGGCAGACAATCGTGTACAATGTTTATAAACTGGACCAGGCCGCTTGTCTTTTTTCGTAGATTACATTTCTTGTGCGTGACGATAACACCGAAGGGATACTATCTCAAGGAATGAGGAGAATGTGATGTACATGCACTGCATCCAATTCTCCCTGTGTTAAGGTTACAGGTTCAAGTCGCGAGGAAAGACTTCATTACACCAGATTTTACCCCACGTGGCGCAGTCTCTCTCCCGCAGAACGACTAGCCGTCGCTTGCAGAAAGCGTCGTACAAAGCACGAACTCCGTAGCTCTGGCGACGATCCCCAGGCAGATGCACTCCGACTTCAAAAGAAACACCTCTAGTTAGTCACCTGGAACTACATGCTTGTTGAGAAGGGGGAGGGAGGAGATCTATTTTTTTCGTGACAACATCTATTTTAAAAGGTTGTCTGTAGCACCGATGAGTATCCTGAAATACTTTGGGTTTATTTTTACCTCCAAAATTTGCCAGGGCAACGCCATAAGGCTACTCTTTTTAGTTCACGTGAAAATATCCCAGCCTTCACCGGGGATTGAACCCTGGACGTTCAGCACTCGAGGCGGATGCCATAACTCGAGACCACTCAGCCCCCTGTCTGTTTGCATGTTTGTGTGTGTGTCTCTATATGTACGTATGTATGTGTGTAGGTATGTATGTATATATGTACGTACGTACGTACGTACGTGTGTATGTATGTATGTATGTACGTACGTACGTACGTACGTGGGTATGTATGTATGTATGTATGTATGTATGTATGTATGTATGTATGTATGTATGTATGTATGTATGTATGTATGTATGTATGTATGTATGTATGTATGTATGTATGTATGTATGTATGTATGTATGTATGTATGTATGTATGTATGTATGTATTATTATGTATGTATGTATGTATGTATGTATGTATGTATGTATGTATGTATGTATGTATGTATGTATTGTATGTATGTATGTTATGTATGTATGTGTGTATGTATGTATGTGTATGCATGTATGTGTGCGTGTATGTATGTATTTATGTATGTATGTATGTATGTATGTATGTATGTATGTATGTATGTATGTATGCGGGTTAATCATATTGGGGAAGAGACACACAACTGACGATACAGTTTAAGTATGTGGGGGTGGGGGGGGGAGTGTGTGAGGGAGATACACACAACTGACGATAGGGGTTAAACATATAGGGAAATGTACACACAACTGACGATAGGGGTTAAACATATAGGGAAATGTACACACAACTGACGATAGGGGTTAAACATATAGGGAAATGTACACACAACTGACGATAGGGGTTAAACATATAGGGAAATGTACACACAACTGACGATAGGGGTTAAACACATGGCGGAAAGTCGTACAATACTGAACATTTGCAACAAATGGATGTGAAGCACGCGGTAAAAGTTCTGTCAAGGCCGAAATAAAAGGGCGGGGTTATGTATGGAACATATTTGTGAATTTCAAACCGGACGGGACAATTTTTATCGAAGTAGAGCAGACGTCATCCATCTTTCAAGATTTACCTGTCTGACCTCTAGCACTGATGAGATGCTGCCTACAGGCGGCTGGAATGTCTTGGCTCTACTACGCTTCCCCCCCCCCCCCTCCCAATCCTTTTGTAAGTGAATGAAAGAGATAGGTAGGTAGGTATATAGGTAGGCAGGTAGCTAGGTATGTAGGTAGGTATGTAAGTGTACAGATATACTGGTTGATGTACAGAATATATACTATGACAATAACGAACGAATCCCCCCCCTCCTTTCCACATACACGCAGAGTTAAGATATTGGCATGCAGGTCTGCCTAAGATTCTGTCAAGTAGATAGGAACATAGGTAGATGGGTGGGTATTGAGGTATGCAGGTGTGTATGTAGATAGGTGGGGATATCGGTTGGTGGGTATGTAGGTGTGCATTACTTCCTGGCACAACACTCATCCACTGTCCAAGAACTTTTTGGGCCTGCATCGGCCTCATCAAGTCATCTTCGTACCCATACTTGATGTAAAAGAGTGGTCATCATCATCATCTTGATGGACAACACACACACACAGGTGGGCATTAGTTAAATAAATAAACAGACGGTCAAAGTGGCTGGTAATTTGGGAAGCAGACTCGTTGGTGTGACAGAAAGAAAGAAAGAAAGAAAGAAAGAAAGAAAGAAAGAAAGAAAGAAAGAAAGAAAGAAAGAAAGAAAGAAAGAAAGACAGACGACAGACAGACAGACAGACAGACAGACAGACAGACAGACAGACAGAACAGACAGACAGACAGACAGACAGACAGACAGACAGACAGACAGACAGACAGACACAGACAGACAGACAGACAGACAGACAGACAGACAGACAGACAGACAGACAGACAGACAGACAGACCAGACAGACAGACAGACAGACAGACAGACAGACAGACAGACAGACAGACAGACAGAAAGAAAGAAAGAAAGAAAGAAAAGAAAGAAAGAAAGAAAGAAAGAAAGACAGAAATGAAAGAAAGAAAAAGAAAGAAGAAAGAAAGAAAGAAGAAAGAACGAAAGAAAGAAAGAAAGAAAGAAAAAAGAAAGAAAGAAAGAAAAAGAAAGAAAGAAATAAAGAAAATAAAGAAAGAGAAGAAAGAAAGAAAGAAATAAAGAAAGAGAAGAAGATAAGAAAAGAAAGAAAGAAAGAAAGAAAGAAAGAAAGAAAGAAAGAAAGAAAGAAAGAAAGAAAGAAAGAAAGAAAGAAAGAAAGAAAGAAAGAAAGAAAGAAAGAAAGAAAGAAAGAAAGAAAGAAAGAAAGAAAGAAAGAAAGAAAGAACACGAACAAAAGCGAAACCATGAAGACACGTTTAACTAGTGTACCCCTGCGCCCTGGTTCCGAACCAGCCACTTCTAGAACAGAACTCCCATACCAAGGCTAAACGTGTTTCTTTAGATCTCCAGGTCCAGGCCATAAGAGTGCGGTTTCTGGAACCTTCCCTGGAGGCTCCTGTTAGCCTGGAATCGTCTGCCAGGTGTTTACCAATGACGTACAACATTCAAATACCTACAGACGCCTGGTGTATGATTAAATCAGTTCCTTGGCTTGGCCATGTCTTCCTTCTAACTGACGCATTGGTACTGTTGTAGGGAGAGGAGGGAAAATAGAAAAGATCGCGAGCGTGCCGCAATGAAGAAAACATTAGGGTGGGGCAGGTTCAGCATTATTATAATTTCTTTTATAAAGGCTACGAGGGTCTAGGGTTTATAGAGGTTTAAGACTTGTTTAAGTAAGCAATTATAGTAATAATTATTGTTATTACTAAACGCTGAATTGCAAATACATTTATTTGTAAATTTAAAATAATATGAAATATATAAACATGTGTTTTAAAAATGGATTTCTATACAGCTAGGTGACAGTAATTAGTGGCTGGGGTGGGGGGGGGGGGTTACCTTAGACCCTTACCCGAAAAATATGGGCCCGGGGGCGGGGGGGGGGGGGAAAAGGCGCGGGATCTTAAAGTTCCTGAGCTGCTAGATTTGGGCACCTTTGATCTGACTGAGGCCTATCCTTGTAGCAACTTGGCTTGGCTTACTTTGAGGAAAGCAAAATTACCACGTTCAACCAGCATCTCCAAAGGGGAGCTTTAAGTTATAATTGTGACCAGATTATGTGTGTCACCAAGTAGCCCTGAAAAGGATTCTTGCAGTGTTGATGCGAGTAAAGAAAACAGACCCAAATAAGGTCCCGACCAGCGACGAAGTCGTCTACCGTTCAGCCCATGGGCAACCCGATCGCCAATGGGATGTTGAAGCAACCGAAAGGAAAATACTGAATAATAAAACATAATAAAGAACATTTACTCTTTCATACATTTTAAATGAAAAAAGAATATACCGAACATTTAAGTACTTGCCATGTTTCGTGGTCTCTTGTCTTGTAGGCTTGCGCGCGCGCGTGTGTGTGTGTGTGTGTGTGTGTGTGTGTGTGTGGGTGTATATGGGTGTTGGTGTGTGTCTGCGTGTGTGTGGGGGGGAGGAGGGGTCGGCCTACACTCTTGACCCGGCTTCCTAACTACTAAGTACCCGAAGATCCTAAATGTTTGTTTTGTTTCATCGGGTCGCCAGGCTGAATGGGAGCCACCCAGCCCTTTATACTCAATGTTAAGAACTAACGCTGGAGTTGGATAGGACACACGTGGATGAAAACAATATAACTAGAATGTTTTTGCACAGGAAACTACAGAAGGCATAGAAGAAAAAAAAAGCAGGCTAAAATCGCGTGGAGACAGAAGATAGAGGGTGAAATAAAGAAATAAGAGGAAGATACTGAGTGAGCCGCATTAAATAGCGAAGAATAGAACGACCTGGCGTGAGTTGAGTGAGGGCCTATGCTGTATTTGAGGACAGATGCAGAAGAAGAAGAAGTTATCTCAACGTGAAATTGTACTGAACCACGATATATTATATTGTAAAATACTTCGATGCAAAGGGGAGTCGGAATATGCTGGCGTTAGGTCGCTAGAGATCTCCTGTCTTTAGAAATATTGGAGATTAGCTAACTAAATGCATAAGACCCAACAGCTTTGTGGTGGTTGTGGTGGTAGGGTATGGGGTGGTTGTGGTGGTAGGGTATGGGGTGGTTGTGGTGGTAGGGTATGGGGTGGTTGTGGTGGTAGGGTATGGGGTGGTTGTGGTGGTAGGATATGGGGGGTTTGTGGTGTAGGGTATGGGGTGGTTGTGGTTGGTGTTAGGGTGGTATGGGGGGGTTTGTGGTGGTAGGGTATGGGGTGGTTGTGGTGGTAGGGTATGGGGTGGTTGTGGTGGTAGGGTATGGGGTGGTTGTGGTGGTAGGGTATGGGGTGGTTGTGGTGGTAGGGTATGGGGTGGTTGTGGTGGTAGGGTATGGGGTGGTTGTGGTGGTAGGGTATGGGGTGGTTGTGGTGGTAGGGTATGGGGTGGTTGTGGTGGTAGGGTATGGGGTGGTTGTGGTGGTAGGGTATGGGGTGGTTGTGGCAGTGGCGGTGGCAATAACACCGGTGGAAAAGGGAGGCGGGTGGGGGTGGGGGGGTTATTAACCATGCGAGGTTTGGGAGGCTGCACTATGATTACCAACGCTGCCCTAAATCCTAGGCTCAAACATCCTTGTCCTAGGCCAGCTTTAAAAAAAAAAGAAGCTCGTTAACGAGATACATTAAGACTTGACTTAATGCACACATATGTAATGAGGCGATTTCCCAACAGGTTTCCAGATAAGTACTTAGGGCCAAGGATGAGTCAAGGAAAAAGGACGCGAGAAAGTGCTCGCAAAATCAAAGGTTTAACTGACCTTCGGAGGGGCGACACCAAAGGGAAACCAGAGAGAGGTGTGAAAAATGAAACAAAGATAGATCAGTTGGTATTTGGCAGCAAGAGCTACTGGTCAACTTCGAGAGGCGTGGGACTGATGTGAATTGTATCTGACAACGTGTGAAAAAAGTTCTGATTCTTTAAGATAAATGCCAGACCAGAAATTATTCAAGTGACACACAGCCTGACTGTAACGATTGGCAATACAGTGTCTAGTTTCCCTGAGATAGGTTTTGAACGTCTCAAGAAGATTCGCAAGTGAACACAAGAAATGTTAGGAACCCTTTTCCACGCCTCAAGGTGTATTGGGCATAGGGCCAGACCTATATTTTTAAGACCAATAGGCACTTGGTGGGTGATTTGATCGGCATCACGCCAATCAAGAAACATTTCTCTGGCTGACAGCCGTAATGTATCGGACATCAAATGTCATTTGACCTGTATGCGAGCTGTCTGGAGTGGCATAAAGCACCTGATGCCCCATTAATTCAACAATTTCCTCGCAAATGCGAGCACGTAATTATGACGGATTCCTTTTTCCAGAATCTCTATACGATTTGATAAGTTCATCCAAGAAAAGGTCAAATTCACTCAGAGTTCTAGTACACTAGTATACTTAAATAGTTGCTATTTTGTTCTGAATCAGTAATCTGTTTTTCTCAAACTTTCTTCAAATTGGAAACCTCTAGAGTCAAGAAAGAGCACTGCAGAAGCCGTACGTGTCAGCATGTCGTGTCAATATTTCTGCTCCGAGCGATGTCGCTATGTAACAAAGAAGCTACATTTTCAGTTTCTTTATGCTTTATCACAAACTACTGGACGTAAATTTGCCTAGAGAAACCACACAACAGCCAGGGGCTGCTGGGGTTGGTTCTGCAACGTCCTGTAAAGGAAACGCAACTAACCTATGCCTTATCAAATATGCTGTCATGCACTTTCGATGTTCTTCTGTATTTTCATGTTGTAAAATAGCACTGCTGTGTTAACAGTCATTGAATCCCGATTTGGCAAAGGCAGATTTTTTTTTCTGTGTGGACTATAAACAACATATAAGAGGGCTGTGTGTTCTCGAGGCATTGTGTTTGCCTCGAGTGTTAAAGGTTCCTGGTTCAATCCCCGGTAAGGGCTGGCATTTTTTTCACGTGAACATGGACTTCTAATTATTCCCCCTGGTCTCTGGGTAGTGAGATCAGACGCCCGTATGCATTGTTGAGCCCGTAAAAAAAATCCGTTGGCAGTTGGAAATCGAGAAGAGTAGCCTAACGGCGCGGCCCGGGAAAAATTTGGAGTTTACAAATCTACATAAGGCATTTCAGGATCCTAGCCGGTGCTACGGAGTCAGTGCACTGTGCTGAGCTTCTCCGGACTCAGATTTAAGTTAGAAAAAGAACGGAGCATTTATGGGTTACTACCCGTGTGCCATGATGTTGATCTGTTGTTCAAACCTCAAAGCTGAGACAATTTACAGAACAATACAAACCAGCTTCTGGTGGTGAATAGAGTAACCACTCTCGTTTAACAGACTCGACATTCCATTCCACAGTTCACATTCCAACACAGTGTGTGTTAAATACCTTGTCCTTATATTCTATACTCCATCTGCTGTTTACACTCTGCGTGATTTTAAAAGGTTTTATATGACATAGAATTCACTTCAACGTCACATATGTTGTTATTTATGGCAGGTCACTGGACATAAGCGAATTAACATGGTGCCCCAGTGCTTGTCCAGCCCCGGGGAAGCAGTCCCTTGCCTTAAGACGGCCTCATCGAGTATCTACCCTGATAGGAAACTGGATTCTTGGCTTTTGACATTACTGCTAGAAGATCCATATTATCCTTGCCGGTGTCTGGTGCTCGAGAGATCAGACAGAGGATGATTACAATAGGTCACTGTGTCAGGGCATGATGTTTGTGGTCGAAGTGCAAAAACGTTTTGCTAAATAAGAGGAACAAACCGCGTCATTGTGGCATACACCGGCGACCAGGTCGCCCTTTGGTTCGCCGATAGACGACTTCGTCACCACGGGACAGTATTTGGGGCCGTCTCCTTTGATCACATCAACACTGCAGGAGTCCTTTTCGTGGCTTTAAGTGCTGAGCCATTTTATATTTAGCACTTGCCCGGCTCTCTAGCGTAGTTGGTTAAACCTGACTTTCGCGGCGTCTGGGTCACGAACTTCTTGTGGTCCAGATTCAATTCCGGGGGTAGGCATAAAAGCCACATTTCTCCCAGATTTACGGTACCTATAATGGAATCAAGGCCGAAGGGTTGCGATATCTATAGTACCGAGCCTAAGGGTTTACAACTCATGGTTTCTGGATACTTAAAAAAAAATATGTAACACTTAACCTTGTCACAGTTATAACCTAAAGCTACCTTTCTAGATGCTGGTTGAACGTGATGATTTTTTTCCCAGCAAGGCGTCACTGTGGTGTGTGCTATAATATGGAAGTTAAGTACTTTGCTAAATACAGCTATCTATAACCAAGCAAATTCTTGTGCCTCGAAGTAAATCGTGCATAATCAATGTTTGTGTTTATCGCAGTCAAGTAAAGCACTTTTATCACTTGATCGGGTACATGTTGGTAGATCATTTTTGATTAATAAAGTGACACTCCATAGATGGTGCTGTGAACATTATGGTCTAATGTTGCTACATTACAGGAAATTTCAGGGTACCTATTTGAGTATGGATCAACATGGGAGCTCTATTTTAAAAACAACGCTATTATTTTAATTAGACGCTAAGTAAGTGTCGCCTTTTTTTTTTAGCTCATATCTAAATCCGACACTGCGTTGAAAAACATCAGTGCCAGAAATGTCTGACAGTACACAAGACAAAAGGGTGTGGATATTACTGATTACTCAGAGAATCTGCATTATAGCACACTGTGCATACCCATAGATGCTCCGTCTCCCCCCAGCAAATGTCTTAAGGTGTAGATGCCAACTGTTCCCGTAGCACACTGATTATACACACGTTGATCTCTTCCTCTCATATGTCCCTCCCTGCTGGATCCACACTTAGTTCCTCGTTCACACATTCTAACACGTGTTATTTCATCTAATCTGGTGTCATTCATTCATATATGGTCTTTAGAATATCTCCCTTGTCCAGTACAAGTGTTCCTGTAACTATCACTTTTGAAGCCAGAAAATCCGCTCTTTTATTCTCTCGCACTCCTGCATTTCTCGGACAGTATATTCATGTGATTCTCTGCAAAACTGGCGTACTGATGCTTGGTATCCACTCTTGCCACTCGTGATGGGGATACAACAGGTCAAAGTTCCACGCCACTGATCAAAGTCCCACGCCACTGATCAAAGTCCCACGCCACTGATCAAAGTCCCACGCCACTGATCAAAGTCCCACGCCACTGATCTAAGACCCACGCCACTGATCAAAGTCCCACGCCACTGATCAAAGCCTGCTAAAAAAATGATCTACCCTACGTCAGTTCCCCTGTTTTCTACAGTTCTAGGCCCAGGGTGACTCGAACTCACTCTGGCCACCCCCGACTCGTTTTCAGAAACTACAACTTCCATTTCTGCACTTTCCAAGCATAAGTAAGTAAGTAAAAAGTAGTAAAGGACCCTTTTCCATGCCTTTAGTCGTATAGGGCATATAGGGCTAGACCGAGATTTTTACAGGCCAATCGGCACAAGATGGGTGATGTGGTCAGCATCACGCCGGCCGCCTTTACTTCCCGGGACTGCACCCGGTACCCACTCAAGGCTGGGTCGACCTGAGAGCCAAAGTCATTTTTGTTTTAAAGTTTGGCTCCGCCAGGGAGCGAGCGAACCCACGACCTTTCGATCCGCGGCGAGCGTCTAGCCACTCCGCCACGGCGACTTCACCAAGCAAAAGTAATTTAGTTTAAGAGGTTTGTTTCTGTTTGTGGGCCCGTACTTTTCTATGTTCATATTTGAAAGAATATCAGTGTTCCGTGGCAACCTTGGATCAGGTATTCTAAGCATGTTTTCGTAAACTTTAAGTTCAAAAGCCTCGATTTTCTTCCTAAGTGTTTGCGAAATGGGCAGTGATTGATATCCACATGTTGCCAGAGGAAGGATGCAAGTTCTTGAAAGAGGCACTTTTATAGTCTTTGAGAAAACTAGATTTGAAGAGAAAATAAATTAAGAGTATGTAGAGGAGAATAGAACACGCATGTGGTACACACGTGTTGTAGCGAGACATTGGGCAGAAGAATTATGTTGAACAAGAATTAACAAGAAAGAGATAAAGACAGACAGACAGACAGACAGACAGACAGACAGACAGACAGACAGACAGACAGACAGACAGACAGACAGACAGACAGACAGACAGACAGACAGACAGACAGACAGACAGACAGACAGACAGACAGACAGACAGACAGACAGACAGACAGACAGACAGACAGACAGACAGACAGACAGACAGGCAGGCAGGCAGGCAGGCAGACAGACAGACAGACAGACAGACAGACAGACAGACAGACAGACAGACAGACAGACAGACAGACAGACAGACAGACAGACAGACAGACAGACAGACAGACAGACAGACAGACAGACAGACAGACAGACAGACAGACAGACAGACAGACAGACAGACAGACAGACAGACAGACAGACAGACAGACAGACAGACAGACGGACGGACGGACGGACGGATAGACAGACAAACAGAGATAAAGCTAACAAATAAGGAGAGGACTTGGGAGTCGGGCAAAGAATTAGTACGAAAGGGAAACAGTGTGTCTGTGTTTGTGTCCATGTGTGTGTGTATGCATGCGGATAAAATAGAGAAAGACACACACGAGCAAGGTAGAGAGAAAAACAAGCGAATGAACTTTGAAACGAATTTTTAAAGTGACTCAGGGAAATGAAAACCTTTGCCTCCAATCCTTCTCTAGTAGATATGTAAAGGGACTATAGCTGCCCCCCCCCCCCCCTCCCCTCCCCTTGCCTGACCCCCTTTTCCTTCCTCATTCATGTACAAAGGTTCTTTTTTCTTCGAGTATTTGTTTAGTACTTCATATTATTTTGAGTGTATTATTATACTTTAAAAAATCTATTTGTTGGCCAACATTATGCTGTCAGTGCCAAACATGGATATTTACATCCCTTATTGACGGTAAAATTTTCACAACAGAGATGAAATGTTTTAGAAGAGCTGCAGGAGTTTCAAGGAATAGGAATTCACGAAATCAGACAAATGCTAGGAATAAAGTTAGTCTTACAGGTCATCAAAGAACAACAAATGAAGTTGTTTAAAAATCTAACAATAATGCCCTGGTACTAATAAATAAATAAAAAAAATAATAAACACATCCCTTGTGTAAAACGACTCCCAATTTTAAACTTGAAAAATTGAGGCAACCATGTTGTCTTGTACACAGGAAAGTACAGTACATTCTGCATGGACCTCTCCGGTGAATGAAAACTAACAAGAGAGCATTTGCTGCCGAACTGCTCCAAGCGCGGGAGTATGGAGTTTCAGTGCATATCTGTTACGCTTGATATCCTCCTAGATAAGAACACATGAATGATGTCTTGTTGGATGCACGGCTAACGTGGAACTTAAGAGATGGGGAAGATTTGCATGCGGCTGAATCACGGGATGACAAAACCTGCTGGCTTAGCCATATTTAGCCTCCTAAACAAATTGGGGGACCCTCAGCCACCTCTAAATTTGAAAATGGCTGGCTAAATTAGCTGCCCCTCTCTCTTTTTCTCGCTTCCTATCTCTCTCTCACACACCCCCCCCCCCCCCCCCACCGCCGCCCACCTCCTCCCTGTAACCTTTCCAATCAGGTATATAACTTTGATTTTTAGGTTTTTGTTTCTGCATATATGATTTCAAATATATTATTAAATCTATCTGCTATTCAGTATTATTATTTTTAGTGTTAGTACTAAGCATTTAAACAAGGTTTAAGCTCCCTGGAAAATATTAATTTGCTGGGGACCGCCACTGTTTTCTTTGAGTGGCGCCTCTGGGTTGAATTTTTAAAAAAAAAATAACTTTACTAGAGGTATGAAAGTTTGTTAAAAATAATGCAGACCAACATTCTATAAACCCATCAGCACTCGGTCGCCCTTACTTCCCAGGACTACACCTGGTACCCACTCGAAGCTGGGTCGACATTTGGAGCCAGGTCATTTTTTGAAGAAAGTCTGGCTCAGACAAGACCCGAATCTATAACCTGGAAGTTAAAGACATTCAGTAGACTTAAAAAAAATAAAGACCAATTCTTGTGTGAACCCAGTGCTAACTTATAGAAGTAAAGCTGGAAATCAACGGTAGCTCTAGATATAAAATTAGACAATTTTGAGAACAGACGTCTTGGAAGAATAGTAAATTTCCACTGACCAGATTCCAGATCCAATACGCAAATAAGACAAGACCAAGCAAGATCATGTATCCAAATGTGAAAGAAAGCGCCGCTGGAACTACATCGGCCATGCACTCAGAATGAATTTTTTTTTTTTTTAATCCAGAAACCATGAGTTGTTAACCCTTTGGCTCGGTACTATGGATATCGCAACCCTTCGGCCTTGATTCCATGATAGGTACCGTAAATCTGGGAGAAATATGGCTTTTCTGCCTACCCCCGGGAGTGAACCCGGACCACAAGGAGTTCGTCACCCGGTCACCGCGATGTCGGGTTTAACCAGCTACGCTAGAGAGCCGGGCATCTAAGACCAGACTCATTGTCAAGCCCTTATATGGACACCAGAAGGGAAAGCAAAACGGGGAAAACACAAGAAAGACACTGCGTTTAACCATCATCAGGGAAGGCTCAAACATGGGTCTAATGGCCTAAAATAGGCAGCAACG